AGAAACAGCTGGTTCCCCGGAGCTTGCTGCTTAGTCTGCCTAACCAAACTGATAAACTCCAGATTGAGTGAGTGACCCTGTCCCCAAAAGTAAGGTGGAGAGAAATTAAAGATGATACCTGATGTCTACCTGGCCTTCACAAAAGCCCATGTCCCCCACCTCCCACCCCACAGAATGATTCATACAGTCAGCCTTTTCAGTGTCTGGATATCAAGTTGAGGGGAGTTCTCATTTACTATGTAATAGAGGAATCACCACCGAAGGACTTTCTTTAAGTACCTGTGTGGTTTGTATGCCAGTCTTCTCTTGCCTACACTGACAAACGTTATGGTTTTTTTAATTTTCTTTTTTCTTTTTGGTCTGACTATTTACTTACCTTCAATATTGGAATGTCATAAAGTCCAGATCATTTATACTGATTTGATCTTCCTTGATGCTGATTTTAAAAGGCGATCTAGGCTCAGTGGTCAAGAACACAGGTGGCTATTGCTGAGAACTCAGGTTTGGTTCCCAGCACCCACATGGTAGCTCACAACTGCCTGCTACTCTAGTTCCAGGGAATCCGATGCCCTCTTTTGACCTCTGCAGGCACTGCATGTTCATATATAGTTTGCATACATACACACAGGCAAATAGTCAAGACATTAAATACAGCTAACTAACTAAATAAATTAATAGCTTAAAGGTAATCTACTAGGAAAAAATCAGCTATAAAGTTCACATGAAAGATAAAAATGTGTCACCAAAATATTCTTAATCAAAAAGTAACAATAAAGGGACACTTCACTCTACCAAATATCAAGGCACAGTGAAAATGTATAGTGGGTAAAGCAGTGTGGCATTAGCATTGAGCTAAGACTAAGTACCAAAGTGAAAAGTCAACACTAAAACCACAGTGAAGACTATGGTAAACTCTATAGTTTCACTCTCCAGAGATGCTGAATTCCATCCACCAGTCAGCACAGAGATGAAATGTGGGGCCTGCCTCTTCCATCTGGGGGACTTATTGGGTTAATACCTCATCTAATTAGAGTCCCTTTGTAGGATCACCAGAGTGAGTAAATGAGACAGATCTTAGGCTTAACATTACAAACAACTTTATTACAATGTCAGAGGATGATGTAAGAGAGAACATTAAGTATGATTGATTGACCTGGGTGAAGGAAGCAGAGATGTGAACCTGCGCTGAACTCCTGATAATAGCCAGTTACACCCAGATAAACTCTCGACAGAGGAAGAGCATGACCTAGCAATGCTCTACCTTCCAGCTGTGCTAAGTGCCCCTGGAGGACTGCCAGGGCTGCGAACTCCGGATGCAAATGCTAATGGCCCCTACCTGGAAGACTTGCCTGTTCCCTTCAGGGCCTTCAGTCTGGTTGACTGAGCACACAGTTGAAGGGTACAATTGTGTCCATGCCTCCTGGCTTCCTCACCTTACTCCCAGCACTGTGGGCCTAGGGGTAGCAGAAGGCAGCAATAATGCACACTTGGGTATCTATCTATCTATCTATCTATCTATCTATCTATCTATCTATCTAT